ACGTTTCAAATATTTCATAAACTCTTAAAATATTCATAAGGAGATTAAGATGTGATCGAACTCTTCTAGACAACTAAATACTTCAAAAAGATTTATGACATTCTTTTAGGGAGTTCAAATAAATTTAAAGGAAGTCGACGTCATATATTCGAGAAATATGTTGTTAATGATCCTCAGATCATGAAGAAATCTATTTATACTTACAATTTTGATGAATAAAATCATTACTTCTATTTGTTTTGTGATTGCAGTATATTTTCTACTACTTACAAACAATGCGAAGAATCTTTCGAAAACAACCCGTCGATTTTAATTTTTTTCTTTTTCAAAAGACAAATAAAGGAATAGATATTAGAATACAGTGTACCAGGATTGTAAGGCATCCTTTTGTATTGTCAAAAGAAGCTTCTTCTATATTAATTAAGTATAATGTTGGGACATTACTGAAAAGTCTCACATGGGGTTTTCATCTTGTGCTTTGACTACGTTAGGTATTTTATCTTTTTATTTCTCTATATATTATTATTATATTATACCACATACAATATGCATATACACTATGTACTTGTAACTTTAATTTTTAGCATATAAAATAGTATTATCATATAGTATAATAGAGTGCAATGTTCCTAGATTTGATAAGGTTGGGTGGGGATATGGATGAGAGGAATAAATGGCTTTTAGTGAAGCATGATGCCTTAGACACAAACATTACCTTCTTTGGATCCTCCCATGGAGGCAACCTAACACCTATTTCTCCTTCAATTCAATATTAACAACCATAATAATTACGTTTCAGTCTCAAATAAATTATCTGATTGTAAGAATTTTTATCGAAATCCGTCAAATAAACACTTGTTGGATTCTATAAAATAATTTTAGATGTAAACGATGGATATGAGGAAGGTTTTCTCTTTCCACCACCTTCAATATTTTTTTCTCTAAATAAATAATCATACAACGCAAACAAATAAAAGACAATCTAATCATTGATCTTAATGGCGCATTTGGAAGATTTTTATATTTTATTTAGGTAGATTGATCATTTAATTTGATTGACAGATTTTTATAATATTTTATGGAATTCTTTTTATTTGCCCGATTTAAATATTAATTCACAAATAGTCACTTTTTAGCTCGTATAATTAAAGAATGTAATTTCGAGCTCCATGATGAAATTCTAGTATTGTGATTTATAAAATTTCATCAAAATCACGAAGCTTTAATACATCAAATATGTCTTTGGATACCTCAACTGCAATAAAACATATACGATAGTTCCTTTACTTTTTGGGTAAGTTACGTAGTTAGTATTTAATTTGATCGATCGATCAAAATAATTATATTTGTTAATCAAATATAAATAAATATTTATAGTACTCCAAATCGGTCAAAGAATTTTACATCAATTCTCTCTCTATATATAAACTATTATTTTGATAGATTTATGTTCACCCCCACCCCACCTATTCCTTCTCTTTAATGAGTGTCGGTGTATGATGTGATGATACACTAGAACTAAAAATAGCGACCACTTTAATTTATTATCATACTTATTAAACTTTGTAAGAATTGACTCTTTGAGTTTTGTTTTCTATATCAAATGCCTTGTGACTTTTCTTTTTTTTTGAATAAGGGATATATAATGAATAAATTTAAATAATCACCATACTTAAATTTTAGACTTTTGGTGAAACACCTCAATATATTTTTTGAAAATTTATTTCCATCCAAAATAAGTGGTTTGTCTTTCTAGAAACCTGACCAAATAAGTTAAAGATTATATTGATTGACTCTCGAAATTTCAATGGTACGACATCGTAATTTAGATGAGGTAAAACAAGGGAAGGGTATGAGGTGGAAAGCCACGTAGGACAGATATGAGGTGGAATGCCACGTAGGAAGATGAATTGACCAAATAGATTCTTTTCACGTGGCAAAGATGGATAAAAAAAAGACGTCATCATTAGTTCCTAATTAATAATGTAAATAAATAATAATAGTAATAATAATGGTAAATAAAAGAGCACCGCATATTGTCAGTGTTTTCACGTGGTTTTCTCATGCATTTTCATCCTTTTGTCCCTTCCTTTTATTTCACTTATTCAATCTCATCATTCTAATTAATTCACTCATAGTTAAATACTACTATACTATATAGTCTATACCCACCATCCTATAAAATAATAATGATGAGTTTAATGTTTAATATTTGTCTAAATTTTGATTATTATGTATTATCCGTTAAGTACATGTTAGATATAAATATATATTTCTCCCTTCGTGTGTTATCAGCAGATTATGTATACTCCATAGTATTGAATATTATTAAACCGTACCATCATCTCATTTAAATTGCTAAAAGTCTAATTGTCTTACCTAATACTATTAGATAATGAAAATATCACCATACATTGAATCAAGGAATGAAATTTTCATATTTTAATTAGGATGGAGAGACTTTGTATATTCGGGCCAGAATCGTACTTGTTGAGTTATATGTGACTATGCTTTAACCTACACATGTCAGCTCATGATACGTCCATTTGTCAAATTCGTATTTTAATTCATACGATTAAATATATTTAACTATATACTATATAGATCATCACGAGTTAAAGTGGTGATGATGAAATAATTAAGTTGTTAGTAATATGTTAAATTGTGTGATTATCAGTAGATCTAAATGTTTAATTAGTTGTTTGAAGAAGGTTATTTTTTATTATTTATTTAGGTCTATTATAATATGATGGAGAAGTTTTGTCAATCATTTGTAAGAACTTTTTGAGGAATAATTCTCAAATCTTGTAACCATCGCCCGTTGCATCATGGAATTGACCATGTTCGAAGCATTACCTTAACCGCAAGGAGGTCGATGAAAAGCTATATATGCTCAGAAGATTGTGATAATACGAGTAGCGTTTGAGAAAAAGGAGGTCCTTGGGCTTCGTTATAAGGCTTGAACAATTTTCCTCTCTTCATTTGAGTTCTACGTTACTATATCAAATTAATGCAATCTAATTTAACTTTGAAAATTAGTCAAATTAACTTTCGAAAAATGCAACATGACAATTAAAAATCGACGGATAGTTTTTAACTTAAAGTTTTATTTGAGTTAGACTACAACAGAGTTGATATTGAATCTTGCAATTAATTTTTCTTTATCAATGAAATATTCAGGATATATTATCTTTCAATTTTTTGGAAGAGGCACGCGTGTTTGAAAAATATCAAGTTGACTTTTATCATATTGTAAATTTTACAGCTTTGAGTTTGCCATACTATATACATTGAAATTTGCAAGAAGGGAAAACTGGGAAATTGTGAATCAAGTCTATAACGTCATGTTCTTTCCATATTACGTGAAAAAGCCTTCTTCTTTTTTTTCACGAACAGTGTGAAGATTGTGTTATCTATACGGAGAATCTTAGTAGCTCAGTTGGTTTACTAGCTGAACTTTCACTTTAATAGTGAGAATTCCATTTCGCATCTTATAATTTCCTTCCCCATTTCCCCTACCCCTTTTATTTTTATTTTTTTAAAAGGTGTTATACTATTAGTGGCCGTGTGATTGGTTGTGTCGATCGACATAAATCATAATTATTAATCTTACTATGAAATCCTACATGTAATTACACCGTATAATTTGTTGGTTGCACATAACTAATGCAATACTTGGTTATGGTGGTATAAAAAAAGAATTATAATTCCCGCAAATCGGAAGCAACATTATTTTTTTTTCTCTATAAAGAAAGATTACCAGGTGGGAAATCAAATAATCCTCGCAGAATTCGCTTGTGGGAAAAATGACCACTAGTTTCAATTCTGTCACTTTAGCTTTGTATTCGTCAAGAAAGTGAACATACCACCAAGGCAAATAATAGTCCCAACATTGTTGCATTTTCAGAAATATGGGAACCAAACGACTCATACAATGTTAAATATGGGAACCAAACGACCCCTACAATATGTTCAAATTGGGAACCAAAAGACGCCTAATAAAACTGGGGGGTATTTTCAAACAGGGTCCTACAAGTTATCTTTCCAAGGGACATGACTTACCATTTGACCTTGAGTGTATATACAACCAAGTCCTAAATGGTCCCTTTTCTCATCTTTAATTGCACAGAGACCTACGCAAAACAGTCCAGTGTACAAAGTATTTCATGTTTATATAGAGTTTAGATTGCACTCCAATAGGATTGTGATATAAACAGTCTATCTTAATACAAACATTAGTGATTACTTTCACGGCTCAAATTTATAAATTATAGATCACACGACAATAACTTTACCATTGCTTCAAAAATTGGTAAATAGACAAGAAATAACAAAATCTTGTAACATATCTTGTTTTCAAGATTTTTTGTTTGAGATGTTGCAAAGATAATTGGCACATGGCTATTGTCATTGTCAACCCACAAAGATAATTTCAGTTTAATTCTTTATACATCCTAATAAGAGGGGTAAGAGCATTAAAGATATAACTAAGTAAATAAAAATATGTTTTCATAACACTTGGAAATTTTAAATGAGAATCACTTACAATTTAAAATGAGTAAATAGATATTTGGATTCAAGTCTCACTCCCTCTCATTATCAATTTTTTAAAAACTATATCGGACTCTGAAAGAAAAATAATTACGCCCCACGCTAGGAAACATGCACTCTCCTTTTAGATAAGATAATTGCATGAGTATCTGTCTATATGATATCTGTTTGGAACTCGATTAATCTGAATTACTAATAGGCAGTAAAACACTTTCCTTCAAAGATGACTCTATTCTAAACACTCAAACACGAGAAATCTCTAACAAAGGATGAAAATGTTCTTACCAGCTTCCCATAATCGTTCATTATTAGATAATAATTAAACAGAAAAAGAGAGAGTATACATGAAACATAAAATTTTATTAACAGATCAATAGGGGTCTCTATATACCATGGTTATAATATATAGTAAGTATCATTTATTCTTCTACCCAATACAACATGCTTGGTTTCTAATTTACAACCCCACAAATTTCTTCAATTTATACTAATAATTAATTAAACATCTGCATATCGTTGAATATTTTGATGATGATAATTTTTTGAACTCACAGGGAAATTATAATTCCCACTCAAAGACATTGGTACAGGGAATCCTAATCCTGCAGCAGCAGCAGTAACAGCAGTACCATTAACTGGCCTAGTTGCACCTGCCCTTTCCAGTGATTGCACTTGATTTTTCAAAAATTTCACATAATGTATTGCTTCATCTAACATTGATGCAGTATCCATTTTTGTTCCTCCTGGTACTAATCTCTGTAATATTCTTATCCTTTCACTTATCCTTTCTCTCCTGTGTCGCGCCGCAACGCTCTGTGGATCCGTCGATATCTTCACGTTCCTTCTCTTTGGTGGTTTAACAGATTCAGGATCGATGTTAATTGGCTGCATTGCTGCAATTCTGAATATCATCTCCCTCATTGCTGCCATATTGCTTCGATTCATCGAATTCGAAGTAAATCCACCCGAATTGGGTAAGAAATTAGGGTTTTGATGAATTGGAGGTGAGTTTGTGAATGAAATAGTAGAAGGTATGTTGAGGAAATTAGGTGAATTTTGATCAATTTGTTGGAAATTGTAGTTGTTGTTGTTATTGCTGTTGCAACTTCCTTGTGGACTAAACTCCATCATTGGTAATTCGGAACAATTACCTGTCGAGACATAATATAATCGGTTATCAAAAGAACTGTTCTAGGTGTAATTTCTTATATCAGGTGAAATAAGCTATGATAATTACCAACAAGTGTTTGAGATAAGTATTATTTTTAATATTTATTTTGTATTTTTTAGATGAAATAGTCACACAATTCAAAGTTACTGACCAGTATAAAAGTCAGGAAATTTCTCCAATTGCATCATGAGCATCATTTCCATTTGATCTTCAGAAGCTGCTGATGATTTAAGCATATCAATATCCATGGCTAGTACTTTTTTTTTTGTAAGTCCAAATCGCTTTTTTTTTTTAAAAGTGAATAATAATTATGGGTTATTGGAACAGAGGAATGAGAAAGAAGAAAGAGTGAACTGTGAGTTTTATCAGAATATTGCAGTGAAAATGGTACTAATACTATTGGTAGTGTGTTTTTTGGTATAGCTGTGGGTAGAGAAAGTGAAGAAATTGAAAGGGGAATAAAATAGTGATATTGGAAACAGATCGTCTAGGCTCAAATGGGAAATGAAGGTTATATATAACAAACTGTTTTTATTATTATATATATACTATATATTTTGATATTTTTTAATTATAGATGCTGCTATAGCAGATAAATAATTCAGTAAGAATATAAATATAATACCATTACCAACTTTTATTATGTCATCAAAGTTGGTAACCTTTTTTTCTTTCCTTTTCAATGTTTATTTATATATATATAAAAAAATAATCCTCGTTTGCAGGTTACAGCTTAGCTCTGTTTTCAACAAATTAATAATTTTGTTTACAATCATTACTCATTTTTCTTTGTTTACCATTGTGCGCTAGCGCATCGTTTAAGGTTCCAAACTTTTTATTTATCATTATTTTATATTCAAAATTTACTATTAGTTTAATAAACATTCGCACAATATAAGATTCATTTAAGAAGGAAACTAAATTAACCAAGCATTTCATTAAAAATAAGCAAGCCGAAACTACTAGCCTATCTACATGTTCGACAGATTTTGATTAAATTTAGTTCAAATTTTATATTTGTAACTAGAATTCACTTAATATATATAAATAATCTAAGATATTACATCCAATGACTTTGAACTTTTGAGAGACATTCTTGTAAATCACTCTTAGTATAAACTTAAAGCTCTATTTCCGACTCGATTCATATGGCTTGAATTTTAAAACTCAAAATCCTAATTGCAACTCTATTCATATGACTCGAACTCAAATCTATCCCCTATATCATATTCCTCGATGATGTTGTGTTGCTTGTTCTTCTATTTTACTAGTAATATAGTAGCTTGAAAATAATTAACCTCTCTAGATACATATTTAATTTGTTTGACTAATTTAAAAGAAATTGTTTTTTTTAATTATTGTATATATATTGTGAGAAGGTAAAGATGAATGGGCTAGGTAGGTAGGCCCACCATTTGGAGGGTTTAGATCTACCAACTGTAGCAGGGATATCATAAATGCTTTTGATGCAGGTGCATGAAACTATATACTATACTAATATTATTTAAATAAAAGTAAATAAATGTACCACTCTAACTTTGGCTTTAATTTTCACTGTTATAAAGAAGACCTTAGCTAAAACCCCACATACACATGACACAAGTCAGAGGTCTCACCTACCCCCCACCCCGACCCTCAATGAAATAAGTCAACTCACCACCGGCCGGTGATGTCGATGGCGAAATTTATTAAGACAGATTCAGTATTTAAATTTTATGCATTTAAAATTTGAGATTCTTAACATAAATTTTTTGGGCAAAGACAAATGAGTTGTTATATTATGTACAAGTTTATATTATATGTATATTGGAGTGTTGAATATAGCTTTGCTTGCCCCTTTTTCTTGAACGCTGATGAAAACTTCAACACGTTAACTAAAATTTTGAGTCCGTCTCTGATATACGATCACAAAATAAGTTAGGAAGAGCTAGAGTGGTGGTTGTATTATTATTACTAATATTATGATAGCAACTTACATTTTGAAGTTTTTGAGTCTTTGTTAGGGTTTGGGGGTAGAGGGGGTGGGGGGGAACGCATTTCGAGGTGGATCAGCTTGTGCACTTGAGTACTGTTTCATGTGCTGTTTTTATGCTAACGAACTTACCTGTGGTGAACTGCTTCTTCAATTAATTTCTTCTGCCATTAACATTTAACACCTCTACTTATAAATTTCCCACGGTTAATTCCACTTTTCTACCACCCAAGCTTATATATTTACTCTTTGAAGTTAATAACTACCTACACCATAATAACATCGTAATATTCACAGTATAGTCATTTAAAGAGTCTTATTTTGAAAAAGTATTCGCTCGAGAAGTTTTATGTTTTATATATTAGTTTCTAATAGGTAGGTGACATGACTAGATCATAATATAATCTTCTTTATCGTCTAATTTATTATTGTCAAAGATTTGTAACTGTTCATTCTCACGTAGCGCTTGTATATTTCGGTCTATATGTTTTCTAGAAATGTCTAAAGTTTAGTCATGTATTCAAGATGACAACTTGTTTAGTCATTCCTTTGTTCAACAATAATTGTCCACTACACTAAAAATAGTTATCCAACAATACTTTTCCAATTGAGAAAATCAAGAGATAATTTACTTTTTGTGGCTATTTTACCCTTGCTATTAAATATTCCCTCCGTTTCAAAAAGAATGACATTGTTTCTTTTTTAGTCTATTTCAAAAAGAATGACCCCTTTAAATTGTATGAAATAGCAAACTATTAATTCAAATTATAATGTTATAGCTATAGTTTCTTTTATTTGTAATCGCAACAAACATTCCATGTTTTTTGCCATCCCATTTGTACACCGAAATACACAAATAGACAGAAATATACAAATGCAGGACCCATTTGTATACCTAAATATACAAATGCAGGACCCATTTGTATACCGAAATATACAATTAGACCCAAATACATATTTTTTTATGTATATATATACCGAAATATACAGATTAAGAGCCATATCAAACATAAAGTTTGCTATGGAGCGCAATTATACAAATTATAGCTATAACATACAAATATGATTTTTATGTTTGCTAAACCTAAAATTTACTTCCCTTCTTGTTTTGGCAACACTTTAACTTCAACTTTCCACGTGACATGTTTAAGGCCACAAGATTAAAGGGCATTTTGGTGCATTTCACATAACTTTAATTTAGAACCACAAGATTAAAAAATCTTCTTTCTTTTCTTAAACTCCGTTCCAAGTCAAACTAGATCATTCTTTTTGAAACGGAGGGAGTACTATTTATCATCTAACACATTTCTCAAAACATTAAATTTAATAAAGTCAATGGATAATATAGTAATATTACCCCTATTATTTATTGTTTTTTAAAGATTACGTCAAGTCAATAGAGGACAACTATTATTGAACAGAGAGAGTATTAAATAATTCACTCCATAATTAATAAATTTAAGTTAAATTCTCATTATGAAATAATTCAAATAAAAAAAAGTTAAATAATTTTAAGAAAAAAGAACGCAACTACAGATTTTTAGATAGAGAAGTTGATGGCGACATTAACGGGCAGACACGAATTATATGTGTTTTTAAAAATAATTCTAAGGAAAAGACCTTATCCCAAACGACAAATGCTAATTACAGTAAAGGACATGTCACCTTCATTATTTAATCAGAGATCACGTATTCAAACTCGAGAAGTGAAAAAAGAAATCTATTAAAAACATCGCTTTGAGAAATGGTTAAATTCGAATTTAATCGATCCTGAAAAATATATGAACATGCATCTATCTAGTTATCACTCAACCAACAAATTACATATAAATACTCTACTGAATTAAATACTCAGAGCATTTAAAATCAATTTATCTTTATTACCAAATAAAATTAAATAGGAACTTCTTATGCACGTTATACACTGCATGGATATTAATTCAACGCTACAAATTTATGCAGCAATTATATATGACGATTGATGACTAATTTAATTAACCCTAGATTCCCGTTGAATATTTTGTACGTCTTACGCAATTATTGTTTTAAAATTTGCATTCAGCATCTTCAGGTTGACAACTATTAGCGTTTTCTTTTATACGTAATTTTTTATGTTGTGCAATCTATACTTTTCAAAGCATAATGTTCACGAAGTAATTACAAAAATATCACCGAAAGGCTTACACATTTGTTTCTTTATATAGTAGTTCGATTAATTCAGATTCTAGTCGCATAAGATCAGGAGGAAGTTTTCCTTGTCAATAGGAATCCTTCATTTATAAGCCTAGAAATCCAGACCTTTGATTAAGGGTGACAAAAATTACTTATATAATAAATTTCCGCGATAAATTATAGGTTATATAGAAAAAAATTGTCAAAACAGAAGAATTAACCTAAATAGCGACGAACTCTCATTTAAAACTATTTATGGAAATTCTAATTTAGTTACATAAACCTACCGTCACAAGTTAAACACAAAAATTTAATAAATGAATTGTTTATAGCTTCTACTAAAATTTGAAGTGGCGAAACTAGAAGATGCTAGAAGATATATTTGGTTCATTATCAAGATGGCAGTTGTACTTTTGCAGTAGATATGGTAGAAGTAAAATATGAAAGGGAAGCAACAAATTACAGAAAATAAACATGTGTGTTTTATTCAAGAAACTCTCAAGTATCTAGTTTTTAACTAAATTTTTTGATGATTTTTTTAACATAAGTGCCACTGCTGGCTAAGTGGTGGGGTGGGGTGGGTGGGGGGTGGGGGACCTCTTTTTTTAAAAAAAAATAAAATCAATTAGTTTCTTTTGAAGCATTAAAAATGGATAGAATAAGATATTATATTTTATAGAAGAAGAAAAAAGAGACATGTTCTCTGCAAGAAGGGGTTCGATTGGATAAAAAGAAGCCAAAAAATAAGGCAGAATTTGTTGTTGGGTGGGGATGAATTTTTTTACTTTGTATTATCACCGTTGCATCACCTTATCTTTTGTTCCCTTATTCCTATTTTTATATTCTTACTTTATATTTAAATAATATTTCCAAATTTCTTTTTCTTTCTCATTGGGACTTGCAGATCAAGTGCTCTGAAGAATTCTTTTTTACAAAAAAAAAAGGATTAAAATTTCATTGCCGATATCATTATTGAAAATGTTATTCACACTCTTTTCTATTCTTTAGTTATAATATTATGAATTCTCATAGTTATTACATTAATTATTTCTATCTTTCATCATTCTTTTTAAGTGTTGAACAATAATTTTTCATGTTATTAAACTGCCTCTATATA